TCCCGCGCCTCCCCTGCGCGCTCCACCCTCCTCCCCCCCTCCTTCTCAATCTCCGTGTCTTTTTTGTCTTGGACTCTCTTTGCCTTTTATTGCTCCCCCGCTCTCCCTCTGATACGCACGCACACACCGCGGACGGCGATGGGGAAACTCCACCTCCCCAAAGGCTAATTAATAGAGAAGAGGCGGGCCGGCCCAGACCCCCGAGGCCAGCCCGGGAGGACAGCAAAGAGCCGCGGGCAGCCCTACCCTCGCCGGGCCCGGAGGGGCTTGAGAACCCCGGGGGCCGCCTCCTCGCAAACTTCCTCCCGGGCCGGACCCGCGCCAACTCACCGTGCGCGGGGAGCGCGGCGCCGGGCAGGCCCCGGGGGCGCCCCCGAGGGGCCTTCGGGCGTCTCCGGGGAGAGATGCCGCGCTCCTCCCGGCCCCCTCAAGGCACAGGGGCTCACCCTGAGATCCGGCGGGTCCCGGGGGTGGGGGCCGGCTGAAGGGCACCCCCTGCGGGTGTCCGAGACCTGGGTCCAGGTCCCGGGGCAAGTGCGCCCAGGCCGAGTCTCCCGCCACCAGGGACAGCCCGCTCCCGACCCCGACCCGCGAGGCTGGCCCTGGGGGCTCCTCGGCCAGAGCCGGTAGGCCTGAGTCCGGTGCTCGCGTACGGAGAGCCGGCCCCACGCCGTATTCTCGCCCAGGCGGCCCGCGGTGTCGCGTGCGAGCCGCTCCGCGCCCTGTCCGCGCTCGCGGCCGATCGCCCGCATTCCCCGGGAGCGCCCAGCGCTGCCTCGGCCCCCGCCTCCTCCTCTGCCCGGGAGAGGAGGGATTTGTGCCGGGAGGGGGCTTCTTAGTCGCCCCCTCCCACCAGCTGCACTTTAAAAAGCATTTAATCCGCCCGGTGCAGCCTTCAGAGGTAATTGACAAAAGTCCTTAATCTGCGCTGTTAACGAGCTGCTATTGTGACTCCTGACCGGGAGGCGCCCACACGACCGACGCGAGCTCCCGGCCGGCCGCCCCCTCCCCCGGGCCGCCAGGAGATCCTGACCGACTGCCCCTCCCCCGCCCCTCTCTGCGGGGCGTCGCCCCCCCAATCTTCGGCTCCCCCAGCTTCAGAATAGACTCCTGTGTTCCCTTCCCCACGCTTCTCCCCAGAGCTATGTTCGGGCTCCCGGGGCGCCTTGGCCCGCCAGGCTGTTCCCTGGCACCATCTTCGTCTCTCTCCCACCGGCTCCCAGTCTGTCGCCCCGTATTCATCCTTCTCCCGGGGCCTTTAGGGGTGCAGCAGACTGCCTGGGGGTGGGGGCCCCGGAAAGCTGGGGTTGGGGGGCACTTGCTGCCCCTGGCATCCGAGTGCACTGTCAACTCACCCACAGAAGTTGGGTTCCCAACCTGCCAGCCGCCTCTTCCTTCCAGAGCTATCTGCCCGCCTCACCTGCAGCCCACTCCCCAGGCCCAAGGGAGGCAGCCAGGCCACCTGGGAGTTTGGGTCCCCCAGCATCAACTGGGAGTCGGGGGCCTGGGTTGGAGTCCTGGTTCCTGGGCTCGTTCTGGATGGCATCTCTCATTTGAGGCCTTTCCTGTAGGTTAAATGGATTGGCAGGGGGGCCATCAGCCTTGTGGAGAGGCGTGTGGTGGCCGAGTGGCCTGGGGCAAGCAGCTGTGCCTCTGAGCCTCGGTTTCCCCACGGCTGCTAAAGGGCCAACAGCACCCTCTTCAGAGGGCTCTCGGGAAGTTCTGAGCGACAGTGCTTTGAAACATCTGACAAGATGAGGCTTCAGACTTTCCCACTGTGACCTTGAGCAGATTCCCTGTCTTCTCCAAGCCTGGGTCTCCTCATTGAACAAGAAATCGCCACCTCCCCCTTCTAAATGGGGACTTATGAGGTTTGTAGATGTGAGGCGGGAACTCCTAACCTGAGTCCGATTTGGGGAGAGGAGGTAAGCTCCAGAAGTGTCTATGTACAGACAGAAGGTCACCCTTCTGGGGGACCCTGAGCTGAGATTCTGAGTGGAGAGGGTGCTAAGGGCCAGCAGAGTTTTGGGGGTATCTGCTCTGGATGGGCGGGGGAGACATCCTGGAGGAGGGGGTGGGGTGCTGGGCTGTGAAGGTGGAGACACCTGGAATTTGGGGGACAAGGCATTCCAGGCAGCGAAGCCGCAAGGCAAAGGCAGAGGATGGAAAATGACAGTTCGCCCGGCCCAGGCAGGTCCCAACCAGAGGACACCAGCCAGACGACCTGCTCCCAGGCCTGCAGAAGGGCGCGTGGACAGGTAAGCGGGGGCCACCTAGCGGCTGCTCCTGGCACTGTTTGCGGTCAGCCTGTCTCGCACGCTGGGCCACAGATTCCTCACTTTCCTGCCCGCAGGGGTGTGGTGAGTGCATGTGTGGGAGTGGTCTTCACCCATCACCCCCGCTGTGATGATGGCCCCTGCTCTGCACCCCCAGAAGAAGAGCCCGCCCAGAAGAAGGAGCCCGCCAGCATTTGCTCAGCGCCTTAGAAGCTGCCCTGGCTGGGGGAGAGGAGGGATCTATGTGGGCCAAAGCACAGCTGACCCCCAGAGGGGACAGAGCCCCTCCGTCTTATTTCCTTTGGACACAGTTGGTGTCTGCAGAGCCCCAGGGAGGAGCCCAGGTGTGCTCGGTGGAATCAGGGCTGGACCAGGGCTTTCCAGCCAGCCTGAGACAGGGCACTCCAGCCAGGACCTCAGGGAAGCTGGAACCCGGGACCCCCAGGCTGCTCCGGGACCCTGCCCACTCGCTACACATCCCCTCACCCTTCTCCTTCTGGTTCACTGATTCCCCGTGTTCCTGTCTTTCCTGCCTTTGGCCACTGGGACATGATGGTCGCACCAACAGAAACCCCTCCTGGGGGATTTTTAGTTAAATTCCCAGGAGAAGGGCTCTGATTCATTCTGCTCATCTTTTGGAGCCAATACATGTCCCTCATAGGTCATCAGCTGTGCTTGGCCAGGTGCCCACCGCAGTGTGAAGGAGGGATGCTTGTGGGGTCCTGATGCATGGTATCCCCTTTTCTTTGCAGGGAGGGGGTACAGGGCAGGCTGTGAGGCCTGCCAGCCTGAGAGGGATGGAAAGGAAGAGAGCCTTCTCATCAAGGAGATGAGCGTGGCCAGAGACGCCGGGTGACAACATTCAGGGTTACTGCTCTCCAACTGGCTAGAATCCACGGCCCCTCGTTCCTACACTCAGCCCTGCGCCGGGCACACAGCATCCTCCCAGCCACCCTCGTAAGTGAGAGCTATTGTTACCCTTGTTTCACGAATGACAAAATTGACTCCCAAAGGTAAGTTACATAACTTGGGTAAAAGTGCTATTAGCAAAAATGATATAAATAATAGCTACCATTCAGAAAGCATTTTTCATGTGCTGTGTACCGTTCATTAGCAATAGGTCTTATTTCATGCGGTTCTCCACAAAAACCCGTGGATGTTATTGATATGCCCATTTCATAGATGAGGCGACTGAAGCTCAGAGAGGTTAAGTCACTCAGCCAAAATCACACAGCAACTGATGGAGTCAGAATGTGAACTGAGGTCTCCGCACTGCTGGGGTGCATCTCCCTTTCTTCCTCACCTCTGTCCTCTTGCTTGGCCAGCGCTGGGCCTGAGCCCAGCGCCACAGAGCCGGCCTGTGGCAGGAGCTCAGCACACGTGGGCTGAGTGTTGAATATGCTTCGCCTCATGCGGCCCCAGGGACCAGCTGGCTGGGAGGTTGGGACCTCTGGCCTTCGTCCACCCAGCCTCTGCCCCGCGCTGCCCAGGGCGCTTGACTCTCACCGTAAAGCTGTCTCAACTTCACTCTGACAGTCACATTTATCATTAAAAATAAATTTATCTTGGCTTCCTGTGGCATGGAAAGCTACCGTGCGGTGATTCAATGGGCTTGTCACCCCTCACGGTTAGGCACGGGGAGCGGAACAACTGGATGGTCTCCAGCACTAGCTCTTCATTTTCTGCGGCTGGAGCCAGAAACGTACAGTGGGCTGACATTTAATTTAGAATCCAACATACCTTGACATAAACCCATAATACAAAGGCGGGGGCGGGGGTGGGGGCTGCCAAGCCCAGCGGGGTGGGGGGGAGTCCAAATGACAGGGCGGATTGCTTTCGTTTTATTTTTTATTTTTGCTTTGTCGACGCTGAGTGGTGATGACAGACTAGAGGCCGCAATCAAAGGCAGGAATTAGCTTGGAGTGAACGTGCATGTGTGAGCATGTGAGCTTTTGGCATTGATGCGCTGTGCATGGGCGGGTGGGTTTATGCCCGGAGTCCCTTGGGATGCTGTGTGTGGCCACCTCTGCCGCCTGTCTGTTGGAGGGCACCAGGGAAATGCAGGCCGAGGCTGAGGCCAGAACCCAGGAGCAGGATAACTCAGGGCGGGTGGGCAAGACGGCACCTCCCTGTGGGTCTCGGTGTCCCCAACCCTTTCTCCAGATCCTCCGAGGCGTGATCAGTGCTCTGGAAATACGGAGCAGGGAGGGGACACTGGTATTTTTAAAGCTGGAGGCAGAATTCTGGCTTTTTATTCAGCAAAACATCCCGATGGACTACTTGGGTGTAAAACGCTGAGGCTCAAGCTTCACCGGGGAGGGGAGGGCAGGACCTGGAGAGACTGGGGAGGCAAGAAACTCAGGGAAAAATGTGGTTTCGGCGGAAGCAGCTGGAAGGGGAGGGGATGTGGGGGATGGGGGAAAGGAAGGGAGCCAGAGGGAACCAGAGAGGGAGGGGCTGAAGCCCACCCAGCCGCGTGGAGGCCTGGGGAGAAGGCTGGCCTGGGAACCCCAGCGCTGATGTGAGTGCGAGCGGGATGTTCGTGGTTTCCAAGCTGTGATACAGGAGATCCCATCTGTTATCCCCTGGTCTTTGGTTAAGAGTCTGCTCTGCTCAACAACCTGTGTTGGAAAGGCTTGGGAGAAATGAAGGGAGTGGGCCCTGCCCCCACCGAGGTCACCACAAGGCACAGTGAAGGGTCCGCTATGGCAGGGGACAGGAGGGATGCTACGGCGGTGGTCCAGAATTCAGGCCAAGCAAGAAATCCAGCCGGCAGGTGCCTTAAGCTTTTGTTACAGAGGAATCGGTGCTGTTTTACTGAATGCCCACTATGCACCATGTAAGTGACTTGAGTTTTCTCACGGAAACCCCGGCCAGTACCTAAGAGGCAGATTGCTAGCATTTCTTATGCTACTGCACAGATAAAGCGACAGCTGAAGCACGTGAAGGTCAAGTACCTTGCTCAAGGTTATATATACATCTGATAAACATCACAGCTTCAATTTGACCTCTGCATTCTGGTCCCAGAGCCCACTCCTTTAGAATTTGGGGACCCCTATGTGGCGAACCCTCAGGTTCCTGATGTTTGTTGTTGAATGAAGGAAACTGGGTGTAGAAAACAAAAAATCTTGCAACCAGTGGCTACATCCCAACCTACAAGTGACCAAACCTTCAGTGATGGCATGCCTATTTTTCTGTTTGTTTCCTGTCCTGTGTGCTATAAGATACTGGGTTCACCATCTCGAGTCCCTGCAGTGCTAATCCTGTTGGTCGTTGTGTCTGCCGACCCTCACTCGTGGTGACTGCTTCCCCGTGTGTTTTGTAATTTTGGATTGCGAATTCCAACTTGGTCAGAACTTTATCTTTGGGAACCCAGGGTGTTCTGAGCTGAGAATTTGTCCTTCCCTGGAGGAATGGCTTTTGTTTCCACTAGGCAACTGAAGATGCTTCAAACTCAGAGCTACTTTAAGTTCTTATCTTGTATGTAGAATGAATTCAGACCCCAAATCCTCATGAAAACAGATTTGTGTTTGTTAACCCAAAGTGGAAACTTTTCCCTTCCCAAGGTGGAATTTTTCCTAGTCTGCCCATCTCCAGGCAGGCTCCCTGGCCCCTGGTTCTTTCTGGTTTCTGTCCCCTGTTGATTCCTTCTTTATTTTTCAGTCTAACTACACATTTAAAAGAATATTTGTGATATCATATCCAACTTTTGCAGGCTTTTGTTGTTGTTGTAGGTGTCTGTGATGGTGGTTTAGTCGCTCAGTCGCGTCTGACTCTCTGCAACCCCATGGACTGTAGCCCGCCAGGCTCCTCTGCCTGTAGGATTCTCCAGACAAGAATACTGGAGTGGGTTGCCATTTCCTTCTCCCGGGGATCTTCCTGACCCAAGGACTGAACCTGAGTCTCCTGCATTGTGGGTGGTTTCTTTACCGACTGAGCCACCAGGTAGGTGTCTAGTCTACCAAGTCCCTTCTTCTCTCATGCTTATTTACTTTTTTTAACTAAATAAATAAATTCTAATTTATGTATAATAAAATGCACAGATATTTTTAAAGATTTTTTTTGATGTGAACCATTTTTAAAGTCTTTATGGAATTTGTTACAATATCGCTTCTGTTTTATGTTTTGGTTTCTTGGCCACAAGGCAGGTAGGAATCCTAGCTCCCCGGCCAGGGATCGAACCCATACCTCCTGCATTGGAGAGAGACGTCTTAACCACTGGACACCAGGGAAGTCCCAAAATGCACATATCTGAAGGGTAGAGTTTGGTACACTTCAGCCATCCCTCCTGTCACTTCTGTTGCCCAAGGAAGTTCTCTCCTGCCCCTCCCCCATCACACACAGCCCCTGCAGAGGTAACCACTACTCTATCACCATAGCTTCCTTTTGCCTTTTCTTAAATTTCACATGGTGGAACCACATGGTGTGTGTTCCTTTGGATCTTAGTTCCTTCCCTCAGCGTTCGGCTGAGGAGATGCGTCCATGTTGTGTATTTCAGTCGTTTGTTCCTTTTTACTGCAATAGTATTTTATTTATGGTTCTGCATAATTGGCTTAACCACTTCACTGGTGATGGACGTTTGGGCTGTTTCCATGCGGGGCTGTCAAGCCCAGCATTGCTGTGAACATTTGTACGCCCGTGCTGGTACACACATGTACACAGTCCTTGGAATTGCTCGGTGATAGGGTGGGAGTAAGTTTAACTTTACCGGAAAGAGCCAAGTTGCTTTCCAACGTGGCTGTACACCCTGACACCCCACTAGCAGTGTCTGGGGGGGTGCAGGCGCCCTGTGACTTACACCTGGCTTCCTCCCAGTGCGCCTGTGGGTGCCTCATGGGTGGTGGTGGCTCTTATGTGGGTGCTCGAAGCCCATCACTTGCTCCCTCAGTCATTCTGCAAACATTTCCTGAGCACCTCCCCTGCAGGTCTGCCCACCCTGCTTTGTCCCATTCATTAGGGCCTCAGGATAGCTGGGCAGCCTGCCCGCTTGTGCCACTCTGCCCTTCAGGGTGCCCTCTCCCATCACACCCACCTGTCTTGCGGCCGTGGTCAGGAGGGCAGCTCGGCTGTCATCTGTGCTCTCAAGTTGATGTCTTGCTCAAAGCTCAGAAACGGGTCAGCGTGTGGAAGCGCCTGTCAATCATCATTCTATTTCCCAGTCTGCCCCTCCCTGCTCTCGCTAGCAGCACTGCCCGGCACCCAGCGGCATCAAGAGCTGAAGGCCGTGCCTCCTGAAACAGTGGTGGTCCAATTGCTTCGCGACGTGGTTGTAGCATTTGCTATTCCCATTAGCAGCATGAGGGGGAAAATAAAATTCAAAGCCCCAATTGGACTTCCCTGGTGGTTCAGTGCTTAAGACTCCACGCTTCCGCTGTGGGGGGCACGGGTTTGATCTCTGGTCATGGAAATAAGATCCCACATGCTGCATGGCACAGCCAAAACAAAACAAAAACCCAAATCTCCACGAGAACAGGGCTCTGGCCGCACACTGGTGGTGGACATGTTTCCGGGTTAAACTCCTGCTCCTTCCCTGTGGGTGGGAATGTCCTCAGTCTGCTCCTTCACTGAGGGTGTGGCCCTGGCTTTCTGCTGGGTTCTGACTTCCTGCCTTCCTGGATCTCAAGGCCTTGGAGTAGGAGGTTCCATGTAGCCTCTGTCTCATGCGCCAAGTCTCACCTGGGTGACAGATGAGGCCAGACAGAGAAAACCCAGCAGGCAGGCCAGCCCCAGGGAGCTCCTCTGGGTCAGAACATCCCAGTGGGGATTGGCCTGCCCTCCTCCAGGGCCCAGGGCTCAAGAGCTGTGGTTCCTGTACCATTTGTGTCCCCTTCTGGAGAGCCATCTGGAAGCCCTGTGCACCCAACACCAGACCCGCTGAGCATCAGCTGAGAAACATAGATGGGACAGACTGTGGCAGGGGTGACTGTGAGGAGCCCAGGGATGGGAAAACTCAGACGGGAGCCTTTCAGGGTTAGATTTGCAGTTAATGCCATCTGTCCCGTCTGTCTTCAATCTCATCAGTTTTTCCAGTTGTAAAAATCACCTAGTTTAGCTGTGTCCAGACACGACTCTGGTTACCATTTGGGGGTTCTTCCTTCCAGTCTTTTTTCTAAGTCTTTGCCAGAGACTACGGGCTGTGGGACTAGCAAAGGCTTGGGAGTCTATCTGTATGTACTGATACATAACACAGACAGGAGAGGCTCTTGGCAGTGTTTTTCTGGGCAGGCCGGTGGGGCTGAGATGGGAAAATATCAGCAGCATTTATTCAACATTTACCAGATATCAGTGCAGCGGACACTGCTGGATCTCTGTCCACGCGGGTACTCATGGTTCCAGAATGTGCTGTACCTTCTCCCCCAAGGGCAGCCCTTGGCCAGTCCCCAGCTGCCTCGCTGTTTGTTGAGGGCGTGGTCTGTCCCATTTCCCAGAGTCCCCCAGGGCTGATGCCCCAGATGCTGTGGTGCAATCTGATACACACCCCGCCCCCCCACTCCATGCTGTCTGCCTCCCCCCCCCCCCCGCCTCCTCCCCTGGTAGCGCTTCCTGGGATCACCTCCAAACAAACCGCTTGTATTTACGTCTCTGCTTCTGGGAAAGCCCACATAAGGCAACCAGGTATTCTGTGTATAAACTTCACGTGCATCTCCATTCCTTCTCACAGTCATTCGGCAGAGTCTGGCGTCGCCGCACTCCGCTTGCTACTGTGTGCCAGACGTGGACCACGGCCAATGTGCCGAGGCAAGTGGCCCGGCATCTGTGCCCCAGTGACCAGGTCTCACCCTTGACCCGGAGGAGGGCCCCAGGCGGCGGCGGAGATGGTTATTTCTGGCACACATCATGTTTTACCAGATGGAGGGTCTGCAATACACAGCTTCGCGTAACCTGATTGTGAGATTTATTCCATGTTCTTCATGATTCCAGAACTCACTGTTAGAGTCAGACTTGTGTCAGAGCAACGCAGAAGACATAAGAGACGTGGGTTCCATCCCTGGGTCGGGAAGATGCCCTGGAGAAGAAGTGGCCACCCACTCCAGTGTTCTTGCCTGGGAAACCCCACGGACAGAGGAGCCTAACAGGCTACAGACCCTGGGGTCACAAAGAGTCGGATACGCCTTTGGGACTAAGCAACGCCACCGCCACGAAGCTGCTTGCTAATATGTACAGACGGGGATCTCTGCGCCAGGGGCTGAGCTCAGCACTGCTCCGAGCGCTGATTCATCAGACCCGTACAGGTGCCCAGAGCCCAGGCCCGTTATTCTCCCCATTGACAGAAGAGGAAGCAGAGGCGCAGAGAGGTCGCCGCTGTAGGCCGGAGATTTACATCCGGGTCATCGGACTCCAGAGCTGGGGTGGGAAGGGGACATGCTGTTTACAAGCCCGCCTCATTTTTGGACGCTTATCTCTATTTTCTAGTTGTTGTAAACAATGCTCAGCTAACAGCCTCCCACCACCCCCCATTGCTGTCGGCCTTGCTAATTACTTCCTTAGGGTCGATTTCCAGGAAGAGAATTACAGGGTCAAAGGACTGGACTGTCTTTAAGACTCTTCATCCCCATTGCCCTGCTCCGGCCTTGCTTCTGGAATCTCTCGCCTTCTTTCCCACACTGTCTTGAGCCGAGCATCATCGGGAAGTGTCCAGCCTTGGCCTCCTTCCACCTGGCCCCCGCGTGCCCAGATCTGCACTTGACCTCCAGCCTGACATCCCAGGTCCTGTCTTATAATCCCCACCAAGGAGGCCAGAGGCTCTCAGTGAGTCAGCTTTTTTCCAGAAAGGTTGGGAGAGGGGAGGACAGGAGGGTCTTCATGGAGGGAGTGTGGTTGCTCCTAGCACACAGTAGG